ACTCCCAGGGCCAGGCACATGCCCCTCCTGGTGGAGCCACAGCATGCTCCGAGGCTCTGACCCTTGGCCTGGCCCCAGCTCCCCGTGCCTCTTCCCAGGCAGAGCTGCACCTCGGCTGGGCCAGCATGGAGGCCCTCAGCTCCCGCCCGCTCACACCACTCGCTCACCCAGATGGGAAGCCTGGGAAGGTGGCCCGACTGAGGCTGCACCTCAGTAACCCCTTTGGCCAGAGGCAGAGCATGCTCACGCTTGGTCAGCCCTTGTCATCCTAGAGTCAGCAAGAGGATGGATCAAATCCTCCTACGCCCAATAACAACAGCAAGGACGTCTCAGGTGTCTTCAACCAGTGCACTAAAGTCTGGGCTTCCCTCGTAACCTGCCAGGCAGGCACTAGCCGGCTTCCTATTTGAGAAGGTGGAGGCTGCTGCAGTAGGGCCTGTGGCCAGTGAGGGGTGGGCCTGGGCTGGGCTGGGTTCGTCCAGCTCAAGGGTCCAGCCTCTGCAGAGTTCAGGAGTCACAGGTGCTCTGGGCTGCCTCCATCTGCTGCCCAACCTGTGCAGGGCACGAGGGTGGGGACGAGAAGGAAGGCTCATTCTAGTTGTGGTTATTGTCCTTCAGTAAGTGGCCAGGCTCTTAAGGGAGTAGGGACCTGTTTGCACTCAGGTCCTTCTCAATTCAGTGACTGAACTTGGACGAGTCACTTCGCCTCTCTAAGCTTTATCCCATCTGTAAAAAAGAGCTCAGCAAAGCCTTTTCTTCAAATGACATCCTACCTTGAAACCCAATGTACAAAACTGGGTGAAACAGGAGAGGGCAGAGCCCCTACCTGTGGGCACTGAGGCTACTTGGGACCCCGGTTTGGGAAGGGGTGACTCTCACCTCCAGGGGGTAGTTTACCATCTGGGCTCAGAGATGGCTTGAAGCCCCACAGACCCAGCATGGGGCAGGGGGATGAAAAGGTATGGGGCGATGGCCAGAAAAGCCCCCTAACGGAGATGCCAGCCAGCCCCTCAGAATAACTTAGGAAAACCTAATAAGTAAGAGCGGAATCTGCAGAGAGGTGCACAGTCACCATTGTAGCGGTCACTAAGAGTACAAGGAGCACACGACCACCAAAGACAAGCTGAGTGAGGCCTGGGTAGGCCACTGGGTCCCAGCCACAAGAAGGCACAATGGGAGTCAGGCAGGAGGCCAGAGGGTTGCCTGAGGGCACGAGCAGCTCTCCGTCCAGGGGCTGCTTGCCTGCCCCTGCTTGCTGCAAGCTGTCCACGAGGGGCAGTGCCACGGCCCGGAGCTCCAGCATTCAGGGTCTGACCCAACCCCAGGAAACCTGTGACAGGGCAGATCCCCTCACCTCCAGGGGACAGAGGGAGAGCCCAGCACCTGTGGAAGTTTCAGTGTGCAGGAACATTCTTGTCCCTTGCTCCCGATGGGTCTACTGCCCCCACGGGCCTCATGAGCTGGGCTGGCAGGAGCCAGCCCTCCTGGGCCCTGCCAAGATGAGGACCAGGACTTGGCCGACCCCAGCCTGAGCCAGCCCGCCTGCCTAGACAATACCTCTGGCTGTTGAAAAGCCCAGGCATGGAGAAGACGACGCTGAATGAAGGCAGGCTGGAGGCACGCGGGCTGGTTTGAGCGCTGCCTCACGAGCTGTGGGACTTGAGTTTACCCCTCAGCCTGTCTTCACTTGGGAAGCCTATTTTACAATCTTTTTAAAACCAGTAATTCATGTCAAAAGTACAGCAGGTAGTCAGCCCCCACTGTCCCCCTCAGGCCTCCGATTCTCCTGCCTAGAGGCAACCTCCCTTACCAGCTTCTGGTAGGTTCTCCCAGAAATGTTCTGCCCATATGCAAGTATGTGTGTACACACACACACAGTTTGGTGGTCTGAGGTTTGGTTTTTGCACAAACTGTAGCATACTACAGTGTTCTTGCCCTGCTGCGTCCACTTAATCTAGCTTGGAGATCGTTCCATACTCGTGCATATAGATCTGCCTCATTCCTAACAGCTGTATATCCCATCCCACTGATAATTTCATCAATACCTTCTTGTGGTGTGTAAGGGGTTGTTTCTAATATACGCTGTTATAAACAATGCCACAATAAAGTGAATTTCAGTATTGCCAAGTTTCTTCCAGACAGTTCCTATAATTTTCTTCTCTACCTATGGTTTGTGAGCATGCCAGTTGATCCAGCGTGCTGAGGAACTTTACCATCCTTGCCAGTCTGATAGGTGAGAAACAGATTCCCATAGTATTAATATGCATTTTTTAAGGGGTTGAAACATCTCATGTTGAAAAAGTTGGTGTTTACTGTGAACTGTACATTCACGTCTTGCCCACTTTGTATCATTTGCTTATTTATTGGAGTTCTTTTAATGTGAAGGAAATGAGCCCTTTTCATGTAGTTTTCCTGTTTGTCTATTGCCTTTTTTTTTTTTTTTTTTTTTTTTTTTTTTTTTTTTTTTCTTT